TGACTAATGCCGGGGGGATATTAACAGTACCAACTTTGTAGGATCACCATGAGGCTTTAGTGAGGTGAGACCTGAAGGAGTTAAGATAAAGCCTGGGACATCTGAAAGGCTCAATTAATGCAGGTGGATTTTTATCATTTATTAGAAGTAGTTCCCTTCAAAGAGACAAGAGAGACCTCCTGCAGAGCCAAGCAACTGGGATGGGGAAGATGGCAGAAGTCTTGGGAGAGGGGAAGTAGTTCATCACTGGAGTCAGTGGAGTCACACCTGGATTCAAATCTGCACTCACCAGGTAGCTGTATGACCCTGAACAGGCCACTTCATCTCTGTGGCTTATTTGAAAAGGGAATGAAACCTCTCATTCTCTACCTCCCAGGATTACACAGAAGATTAAAAGCAATCATGTAGGCAAAGGGCCTGGGGTTTTACAACTACTTCCTCAGGTTCAAATCCTACCTCCTCTACTTACAAAGTGTATGCCTTCGTGTGCTGTGTGCACCTCCTCAGTCTTAGAGATACTTCAACCAGGCAACCATTGAATGGCAATGTCAGAGACACAGCTGCACTCCATAACTAGGAGCTGCAATGATCACCTGAGGAGTGGCTAAAGGAACCAAGGTGCTTTCACCTGGAGAAGGGCAGACAGGGCTGGGGAGTGGAGAAGGGTGTGGGATCTTAAACTAAGGATGCTGCTTTTTTACAGAATTCAGAGGTGATGAGCCCCCCGTCACAGGAGGCATGCAAGTAGAGAACGGTAGGCTTGGTGGTGAAGGGGGAATCAGGCATAGATGTGGGGTTGGGATAGGTCTATAATTCCCACATATCAGTCCTTTCCTTAACATTGTCGTCATTTCCCATGAACTTGTATTCATTTAATATAGTTCCTTAAATCATCTAAGTTTTTTGGGTTTTTTTTTTGTCCTTTTTGAGACCGGCCGTACCATGCTCAGCCAGTGAGCGCACCGGCCATCCCTATATAGGATCCGAACCCGCGGCAGGAGTGCTGCTGCGCTCCCAGCGCCGCACTCTCCCGGGTGCACCATGGGCTCGGCCCTTAAGTTTTTATTCTTAAATGAATTTATTATAAACTACACTGAGAGCACTACTTTATCTAGAAAATCCATATCACTTGCCATAAAGAGAAGGTCCTAAAGATAAAATGAAATAAAAAGGTTTAAAAGTACTTTCTAGATACCATGTCCTTCTAGAGGTTCTGAGTCTAAGGCTTATCTCTATTGAAAACAGAGATTAGGGAGTGTTGGGAGGGCTTTAAAGGAATAGAAGCACCAAACTGAGACCCTGACAAAATCAGGAGGTACCGAGAACTGAAGAGAGAATATGGTTTTTTTTTTTCCTTTTTGTCTTTTTTACTGACTGGTAATGGGATCGTAACCCTCAGTGTC